TTACAGGCTACTGCCCCTTAAGGATTTACTCCAAGATTAGGAAAGTATGGACTTGACTCTTGACCCAAATTTGGAAACTAACAACTAAGTGCAAGACAAGACTGATTTGGACTTGTTTGTGGAACCCTTAGACACGAAATAAAGCTGGAAGAGACTCAAAAAGGAAACGAATTGCAGTGAGACAGATTGCACAACTCGACTCAAACAAGGGCAAAAAAATGGTAGAAATTTCGAACCCTAGACTCTACCTGAATTGCACTAGGCTATGTTTTTGGGGGTTGTAAACAAGGTTTCTTGGGTTGTTTTTGGGTAGTTTAGCTGCTGATTTTCTGGATTCTCATGTGTGCAAAAGTTACCAATCAAAATGGGGCAATTTGAGTGCAACTAGGATTTGTTTTGCAAACCCAAGTCAAGTTGGTTTCTAAATTCAAGTTGGTTTCTTTTTTCCTTGTGAATCCGATTCTGATTTGTTTCTTTTTCTTGCCTTTTTTTTTTTGTAAACGCAATCACATTTCTTTTCTTCTTTTTCAATTCGGATCAAACACAAGAAACAAGCACTTGGTTTAGGATTTTGCACAAGGTCAGTCCCCAATTTTCAAGAAACAAGAACTAGGGTTTGCTTGTTCAAGATATGGTAAACTTTGACTTCAAGAATTCAAGAACCCTTACCAACCCAATACTTCAAGATTCACCCAAGAATTTTCAGAAAATTTAAGATATTATCAAGACTTCCAAGAACAAAGGTAAACAGCCTTGTTTTAGTGCAAGACACAAAAAAAAAATCCCAATACCCTTTGTCAAGAAACCCTAGTTTGAACTTTGGATTTCAAGAACAAATAGCGACCAGATTCTTTCCTTTTTTTTACCCCTACAATTCCAAGACTCAAAAACACGACAATAAGACACAAATAAAGGCCAAGAAACATAGCATCAACAAGAGATATGATCGGATAGCAAAGAACAAATTGCGGACAGCAAGGAATAATAAATAACTAGTGACTCCAATTTTTTTTTGACACATGAATCTAATTTGGAAATAAGAAGATACGACTCAAACACGAAAGAAAAAGGAGGATATAACCTGATAGTTGTCAACTAGCTTTGATACAAACTAATGCGACACGAACTCCATCGAAGACGAAACCCACGAATCAATTTGCCCGGGATCTAGATGACTAGCACGAAGGTTTGACAGCAGAAAAATTTGACCCTAATTAATCCTAGAAGTTACAAACAATATTGATACTATTTCAACCTGTAACCAATCGAATTAATAAATCAAATTTGTAGTAGAGGAATGCCACAATCAAGGAGATACTTGATTGATAAGTTCGGATCGAATAACTTAAGAAAACTTTCAAGTATTCAAAGGAAGCTCTCTTGGACAAGAGAAAGTGAAAACTCACAAGTTTGTTGTAAAAATCTGATTAACTAAAAAATTATTGGAAAAGACTAGGTTATTTATAGCCTTACAATGACTCAAATCTAAAGTTATTTGGACTTAACTAAACCCTAAACTATTGACTAGAGTTTCGGCCAAACTAAGGACATGGTTGGCTGAATTATTAAGCTAAAATAATGACTAGTGTTCGGCCACAATAATGGCAATGTTGGCCGAATTTATTAAGCTGAAATTAGCAACCAAATCAGCAAGGTAAGTGACAAATAAACTTTTGCTTAACACACGACTAAGGCAACAAGCAAAACTATCCAAATGACTAACTAGCTAATCAACTAATCTTCTTCACCCGACGCTTCAACTTGGAGAAAAGTGTAAAGTGTTGAATCTTCATTATCCAAGCCTTCAATGATCCTCAAACCACCTCCAACCCGATCTTGAATTGTGCACACAAGAGCTTGAAGTGATTCTCTAATTTTTCTTGCACGAGCTCTTGTGATTGGACCACTTGGAACTTATATAACTCGATCATTTGTAACTTGGTCACCCTTGATCACTTGTGCCCCTTCATCAACAGTGATGAAAATTCAAGATGGTGAATGGATACCAACTAGAAACCTTAATGGTTGGAGGGTGTGCATTGATCATTAGAAACTCAATACTGTGACCAGAAAAGGTCATTTGCCTTTACCTTTCATTGATCAGTCATTAGAACGGTTAGCTCGTAAAGCTTTTTACTGTTTTCTTGATGGTTACTCAGGTCACAACCAGATTGTGATCATGGTAGAGAACCAAGAGAAGACAATGTTTACCTGTCTATTTGGAACATTTGCAAATCAGTGAATGCAATTTGTGCTATGTAATGTACCTATCACCTTTCAATGGTGTATAATGAGCATTTTTTGATTTTATTAAAAAGTGCATTTAGGTGTTCATGGACAATTTTACAATATATGGCGATTCATTTGATCATTGTTTAGACAATTTGGCAAGTGTCCTTCATCGGTGCATAGATACTAATTTGATTTTGAATTATAAAAAATGTCACTTTATGATAGAGTAAGGTGTAGTGCTAGGACATATAGTATCTAGTTAGGGGATAGAAGTAGATAAGGCCAAAGTGGATTTGGTTAAGAGTCTACCTTACCCTACAAATGTATAAGAAATTCATTCTTTTCTTGGCCATGTAGGGTTATATCGTAGGTTCATCAAAGATTTTTCAAAGGTTGCATTGCAAATGTGTGATGTGCCATTCAACTTTAATGATGAATGTAAATAGGCGTTCGATAAGTTGAAAAGTTTGTTGACGTCTGTACCAATTATTTAGCCTCCCAATTAAAATTTGCTAATCGAGATCATGTACGATACTAGTAATTATGCAGTGAGAGTAGTGTTAGGGCAATGACTTAGGAAGCAAGCTTATGTTATAAGTTATACTTCTAAGACTCTTAATCCAATGCAGTGCAATTACACTACGAATGAAAAAGAACTCTTAGCCATAATTTTTACTTTAGATAAATTTTGATCTTATTTATTTGGATCTAAAGTGATGGTTTATTCCAACCATCTAGGTTTGAAATATCTTCTGGCAAAGAAAGAAGCGAAGTTGAGGCTTATTAGATGGATTCTACTTCTTCAAGAGTTTGACCTAGAGATCAAAGACAAGAAGGGAGTAGAAAATCGTGTAGTAAATCATTTGAGCAGAAATGTTAAGAAGGAGGATTCTATATCGATTCAATAGTCTTTTCTTGATGAACAATCGTTTGCGATGCAAGGTATAGTACCCTAGTATGCGGATATAATCAATTATTTGATCACTGGTCAAATGCTAAATCATTTTAATAAAACTCAAAGAGATAACCTAAAGAGTGAGTCCAAATACTATGTGTGGGATGAACCATATTTATGGCATTGTTGCTCTAATCAAATTGTTAGAAAGTGCATTTTTGAATTAGAATTTTATTTTATTCTTAAATTTTGTCATCAATATACTTGTGAAGGCCACTTTGGATCCTAAACAAATTACTGGGAATGTGTTAGATAGAGAATTTTATTGACCTACCTTATTTCGGAATACTTATGAGTTTTGTAAAAGTTGTGGATCTTGTCAGAGAATAGGAAATTTGTCCCACAGGAATGAAATGTTTCAAACACCTATTATTGTTTGTGAAATTTTTTATGTTTGAGGTATGGACTTTATGGATCCTTTTCCTTCTTCTTTTGGATATATATATATATATATTTATTGGCTGTTGACTATGTATCGAATTGGGTGGAAACTAAACCCATTAAGACTGACAATTCTAAAGTGGTTGCAGGCTTCCTTAAATTTAATATTTTTACTAGGTTTGGTGTGCCCAAGGTTATAATAAGTGACCAAGGGTCTCATTTTTTCAATCGTACTATGGAGGCATTAGTGAAGAAATATGGAGTTTTTTTATAGGACTTCTACTTCATATGACCCACAGATGAATGGACAAGTTGAAGTTTCCAACTGAGAGATTAAGGCTATTTTGGAGAAGACTATTAACCCTACAAGGAAGGATTGGAGTTCATGTTTGGAAGATGCCTTATGGGCCTATAGAATAGCCTATAAAACTGCTATAGGGATGTCTCCTTATAAGTTAGTTTTTGGAAAATGCTATCGCCTTCCTATAGAGTTGGAGCATAGAGAATATTGGGCAGTAAGGAAATGTAATTTGGATCTACAGAGAGCTGGTGAAGAGAGGAAATTGCAGCTACAAGAATTGGGGGATATTCGACTTGAAGTTTATGATATGCAAGATTAGACAAGGAAAGAACAAAATTACTCCATGACAAAATGATCCTGAGGAAATCTTTTGCAGAGGGACAAAAAGTATTACTATATAATTCAAGGCTCAATCTTATGCCAGGTAAGTTGCGTTCATGTTGGATTGGTCCCTTTGAAGTTACTAAAGTTTTTTTCCTATGGTGCAGTTGAAATAAGGAGTTTGAAAACAAATCGAATATTTAAAGTGAATGGCCATAAATTGAAACCTTTCTATGATGGCTTCAAGGAGCAAATACTGAAAGAGTTGCAATTGTTGGAGCCAATTTACCATGATTGAGTAATCAATGGTCCTGTCAAGCCAACGACATTAATTGAAGGCACTTATTAGGGGGCAACCCAACTTTTTATTATTTTGGTAATTTACTTGAGACAATTTATTTATTTATTTATTAATAATTTCTATTTATATTATTATCTTATTTGGTTACAGGGCATTATTGGAGTAGAATTGAAGAGATTTGCTATGTCAGGTGCCAATTGTAAACCAGATAAAGCAATTATTAAAGTCTGAACTAATCAAGTTTACAGGCATAAATTCTAGGTAAAAAGTATGTTAATGGCCTTACATGGGGTTCGTTGATTGGTGTTTGACATGAAACAAGAAGGTCTGGACTAGCAGTATATGATGGGCTCTGGAATAGGTCTTATGTCGAGCACCCGTCATATCTAAATATATAAAAAATCACTTGATCCTACTTCTTGGCAAAGGACACAACGTTCTAGTAAAACTCTACTTCCAGTCGTACTTCGACAAATTGGGCAAGAAACAATCAAGTGGTCCTTAGTAGCTTTTGTTCTTTCGACAACTTCATGTTTCCTTATTGGCTTTTGTTTTCTTTTGGTCCTAGTTCTAACTTCACATTCCTTATTAGTTCTCTTCCTTTTCTTCATACTTCACAGCTCCTTAAGGATTCAACTCCGAGGTCACTACCAAGTTTCTTCAATTTTTAATCTCTTTTGTGCCTCTCTTCTCTTTCATGTTGCCACCACCAACTTGGATCTTAGGAATTTTTTAAGACAAAGGCATCAAGTAAGAAAGATAAAGACAAGCTTTGGATGGCTAGCCCTAACTTTTCAATCTTGGTTTGTGGACTTCAATCTCACTAACTAATTTGGGGCTTTTGTTGGGTTTATCGGGGAGAGTAAGTTTGCATTGAACTTTAGCTTTTTAATCATTGGTACTTTACTTTAATCCAACAAACTAGCAAGTAGGTGTTCTTGGTGCACTATGTGTTGATTTTTGGAAGAATTTTTGAACGATTTTTTTTTGTAATTGTTTCAAGGTTGACAGTGCTACCACTGTTGTTTTAGTGGATTTAATTCATTATTTTCACCAAGTTTGACTTGTTGATGGTATTGTTTGAGTAAATTGGTGAAACATCTAAGTTGTTTGTTTGACTTATTTGAATGCTTGTGGTTGTTTAACTTTACTTGTAATATGTTTCCAAGAAGTAGAAAATTCAGTGATACACCTGTTCCACCTAAGAGAGTAAGAGGTAATCGGGAACCTCAATTTGATACTTTCTGATTCTTTAGTGAGGAATGTGCACAATGGTATCAAACCCACATTGGTAATAAAGTGATGGCAGAAAAGACTTTGGGCAATGAAGTTGAAACAAATTTTCATATTAGGGAATTTTTTCGCTCCTTGGGATGGGAACCTATTTTAGATTTATCTTCTGTTTATTATCGTCAACTCGTTTGGCAATTTTATGCTAATATTGTTGATAAGCAATTCTAAGAATCTCATTCTACTGTCAGTTATGGGAAGGAAATTTGAATAGAAGTTACTCGGGATCATTTAACTGATTGGTTTTAGGTATCTAAAATTGGTCCTGATTTTGCAATGAGAAGATATTCTATTATTAATGATTTGAACTAGGATGCTTCCATAGTTATACGCAGGCTTGGGCTTAGTCACATTGGAGAAATTGGTCGGCCAACTTATTTGGTTAAGGTTCTTCATATGAAGAGACGTATGTTATTTTACTTCATTTGTCCTAATGTCTTGCCTAAGGAGAGTAACAAGCATGCGCTTCGCTTTAGTGATATGTACTTCATTGATAAGATGAAGTAAGGATGTGGTTCTCATATAGATGGTATTCCACTTGCTTCCGTCATCATTGGAGAGATGTGGGACACTGTTCGAACAAATTGAAACCAGAAGGCATTTGGTCATGCTTGTGTTCTTACTCGTATTTTTTGAGCATGTTTGATAGAGATATTGCTGAAAAAATTTTGTTATGGCTGTCCGAGAGGGAGAGAAGGAATTTCAGATTTTTTTTCAGAAAATTTGTGGTGATTTTGACATACTCTTGGTCAAGACATTTTTTAAAACCTTTCTCTTCATATATATGTTGATTTTGAGCCAAAACAAAGAAGTTTAAGAGGGGAAAAACCGTTTTCCAGACTATTAGTGTGCTGAAAATTTTTTCCACAGAAGACTCTGAGCAGTCTTGAAAAATCTATTATATCGTGGTGTAAAAAAATCTGAATTGAGTCCCGTTTATTGCATTTGAAACTAGATTCATAACTCTTTTAACCGTGTAAAATTCATGGTTTGGTTCACTTTCTATAAATACCTACAAAATTTTAAAGTGGGCAGAAAATCCAAGACTGTCTTGTTTTTGCACTTAGTTGAGCAGTGAATTGAAGCTAAGATTTGACTAATTTATGAGATGAATTTTATGAAGATGTCTTCTAGAGAGTTGTAGAATTTTGAGTCTATTTTCTAACAGTATAAAATTTATGATTTTTGGACTTACGAAACTCACGTTTTGACTTTTCAAAGAGAGTTACAAAAATTGGAATTTTTCTTATGAAATGACAAAAAAACTTGGAAGGGTCTTGGAAACATTTTCTAGTTCTTAAACCTAACTTTCTTGATTACTTGCACACCATTTCATACTTGGATCATGGATTTATTATGTATATGAGTTTTTCAGCTGTCACATGGGACTCTCTGGCTTTGACATAACATAGTAAGTTTTGAAATGTGATTTTTAACTTGGGTGTAGGAATTTTCAGCTTTCATTCTAAATTTTGAGCCTAGGGTTTAATTTTTCCAACTTGAGTATATGATGGTTATATGCTATGTATATGCTTAAATTAGTGAGTTTGGTGACCTAAGATAAGATCTATGTTTCCTATAACTTGTGAACTTGATTTGGGATTGTTTGGTGATGAAATTGTAGCCTTGAAAATGGCTGAAATTTAAGGAAAAAATAGGGGAGGTGCTGTTCGTTTTTTGTCTTGTGGTTCAAGCGAGTGAAATTGATATTGGAGCTGCGATTTTAGGTCGATTTGGACTTAGTTTGCTTAGAGATGCTTGAGTCCACTTTAGTAGTGACACCTAAGCTGAAATTTTGCTAAAATCCATACATTTTGCATGGTGAAAGTTATGACCATTTTAAACATGATTTTTAGTCGCTTGTGTCACGTTTTAAACTTAAATGTTCCGATCGTTTTCTTTCCAAAACAAAGGCAAGTGTGCATGTATTTTACCTAGGGTTACTAAACTCATGAAATCTATGTGTCTAAGTTATATTCACATGATCTCCTTGTGATAGTCACAAGTGAGGGTTGGATATTTGGAAACCCTACTTGATTGTTTTTTGTTATTCAACATTTGATCGCAGATTTAGAATCCGGCCAAGGAGCTAAGTCTGAACCTGATTTTGCTAATCACTAATCGTTGGTGAATGTTCCTTCCATGTGTGTGCTTTAAATGACTATGTGAAATATTGTGAATGCTGTCGAAATGTTAAATGCCTTCCAATGATTGCTAAATGAATTTTCGATGGGCGAGTGTGTACTTTATCTCACTCGACCCAAGTAAAAGTGAATTTTCAATGGTTGAATGCTATTTGTACATGAATGTAAGTTTTTTGGCTGAACTGAGCCCCTGCCCTTCGTTGCCAATTGACTCGAGCCAGAAGCGGATTTGGTCAGACGGCTGGTGACCTTGGGACAATGTTTGGTATACTCGAGTATTATTGCGAAATCTGGTGGAGAACTGGCTAGTGAATTCAATGCAATGAAATCAATGAATGAATGACATGAACACTGAAGAAGTTTTCACTTGCAAATAATTTCTAATGTCGTAGGGATAAGGAAAATGGTCGGCGAATGAATGAGTGAATGACTCCAATTAAGCACGTATCTTTTCAATTGATGAATGATTGATTCTTGAATGACTGCTTATTATTGTGCCAAGTATGCAAAGTGCTAAATGTAAATGTTTCTGTGTTTGCCCGCTTGATTGCTTGTTTGGGAACCTCACTGAGTTTTTATCTCATTTCGTTAGTTTGTTTTCCTTACAGGAGTGGAGGCCGGAGCAAGTAGGTATGAACTAGGGTGTAAAACTTTCACGTACTTGTACTTTTGTAAATGAGACGTATTTGAAATCTTTGGAAATGTAATCCTATGATTTACCTTTGGATTGTAAATTAAGTTTGAATTACTGGTTGGAAATGGAACTTTTATGTTAATTTCAAGGCTTGAAAGGCTATTTCAAGAATGTTAGTGAGTGAGTTCTGGTGAGAATTGGGTAGGCGGTCCGCCAAACTTTTGGGTACGCCTTAGGGGAAGATAGGGCGCCACAGGTAGTATCAAAGTTGCCTCACGTTGTGAGGACCCGAAATTTCATTTTTTCTTACTTTTATTTTATTTTATTGGCTTATTTAATTATTTATTCACCCGTTTACTCTGAATAATTTATTTCATTCATTTTAGACCCATTTGTACGCAAAAATGTCTCATTTATACTTTTAAAACGTTTCGCTAGCGAATTTAATTTTTCTGCGGCTTGTTTAGCGAGAAATAGCACATACACGTTTTTCGAGATAAATTCGATCCGAGAGTGCTATAATCTTGGAGTAGTATGGGTGATCAATAGTAGACTAAAAAAAGTTAACTGAGGGATTAGGGTGAGTGAGTTAAGTTAAATTCAATTAGCAGCACTAATTGCACATTAAACGATTATTGACATTTGGGGCACAAGAGCACTTTATGTCCCATCTTCTTACACAACATCACATTACCCAACTACTACCAAAACCTTTCTTCCTCTCCACTCTTGCCTTGGCCGATTCTTCCCCTCCCTATTTCCCCTCAAAATTTTCAGCTTCTAGTCTTCCATTTTTGCTCCACAAAGCTCTCCAAAAATTGCTTCTTGTCTTGGGTTTTCTAGCAAGCTTGGAGGAGGACTTAATCAAGGAAGGAACTTAGTGATTTAAGGGCCCAAAAACCTAGTGTTTACTCTTATTTTGGCAGCAAAGTAACCACCCTAAGAACCCTTCAACTTTTCCTCTTCAATTCATAGTAGTAAGTTAGTAGTTAGTTAGTGATGGCAAGATAGTTGTTGGGTTGTTGATGGGTTCACAAGAATCTTGACATTAGGTAGTGGACTTGAGGAGGCCTTATAGGTAGCTATCTTGAGGATTATTGTGTGTTTAATTGCTTGTTTGTTACTTGTTTTTGATGAGATATGGTGTAGTTTGAGTTGAAAAGTTGAAAAAGAAAGCTAGAGAAAGATGCATGCATGCTAGCCTAAAATTGTTGATTGTTCCTCTCTTGTTAATTTCAAAATTTTGATGCTTGGTTGACTTTGAAATTGATGGATATATGTTGTATATTGTGTATACAAAGTACCTTTCAAAAATCGTTTCATTTGGTTGCATAAAACTTGAGATTTGGCAAGATTAAAATCTGGAAATCGTATAGCAGGGGTACTCGGACAGTGTTTATTTGTTCGAACGTAACTCTCTGTACAAAAGTCGAAATTGAGTGCCATTTACAGCATTCAAAACTAGACATTCATAGCTTTCCAACAGTATAAAGATCTCCTGCTGGTTCGTTTTGAAAGGACCGTAGTGAGTCGACAAAGTTGGCTGTTCTGTTTTGACTGTTCATACGAATGAAACTGGAAGTTACATATTGTGGCTCATTTTTGTCCCACTTGTGGAAAGATTTTCAATCATTTGGAACCTAGTTTCCAATGCCACCAACCATTCTCAATTTGAGTTTGTATAGGGTAAGATATGGTTTGATTTCGAAAATGTGACAAAGCTAGAAACTGGAAATTTTTCCCTTTCTTGTTGGCCGAATGATCAAATCTGTTTTGGGATGTTATACTTCAAAGATTTTTGTGTCAATTGCTTATTAAATGTTTCTGGAACCTTGGTTTCAAAAATGGAGTGAATTGGGATTGATTTCATTGGACAAAACCTTTGGAAAGAAAGAAAGAGTGGGTTGGCAGATTTGTTTTGAAATATTTCATGAACTTTGGTCATTTCGTTAACTGCCTTCCCGTGGGAGTTTTTACTTAAACTTTGATAGAGAAGTAATCCTCATAAGTTTAAGTATACCAAATTTGGTGTAATTTCAATACCATTTCGATATCCAAATGATGCCCCAAAGATTGCTCTTCAAAACTGGAAATTCACTGTTCAAGTAGTGAAAATTAACCGACTTTAGGCTGTTATATCTTGTTGTTCAAAACTCCAAATTTAGTTCCTTTTGTTGTGTTTGAAACCTTGTTCGGGATTCTTTTTGCGTTACAAATTTCAGAGGCTGATTCACTTCCTGTGAATTTTGCCGAATTTCCAAACATTCCTGAAAAGTCAAGACTGGTTTTGCTCGATCTTCATGATACTGTAACTTTCAGCTGAAAATCGAATGATTTCTGGTTTGAATCTCTGAAAAGTGTCTTTAGAAGTTTTAGTGCTTTGAGTCTAGTTTCCATCGGTATAAAGTTTTCCATTGTTGGACTTACGGAACTCGAGATACGATTTTTCCAAGTAGTGTCACTCTAAACTGGAAAATTTCTGTTTTCAACCAAATTGCTCTTTTAAGAACTTTCCACCTTCCTTTACAATTGTTGAACTGTTTTAAGTGTAGTTTCACAGTTTAATACGATATCTCTTTGAAATTTAAACTCCATTTCGAATCTTAGTTTCCAAGGGATTAATCTCCTTTTTGTGATTCTTCTTGACTCTATAACTTTCCTTGTTTATAACATTTCTCTTCATACTTGAATTATAGACTTCAACCCTATTCTTATTGCCTCGATTTCCATGAGTTTGAAACAAAAAATGGAGCGTTTTGACTAGAGTAATTTTTGTGAATTTCACTAGTTTCATACTTGAACCTTAGAATCTTAACTTTGATATTTTTCTATGAAATGAGTGGAGTTTCAAACGAGTTTTAACTCCATTAGTTTGGATAGTGTGCATGCTCTTTGCCTTTTAAGGTTTGGGCATGAGTTTTCCTCGATTTTCATGCTGAAAGTGAAAATGGTACTTTCTCTTGGATATGAGATTACTTACCACGACTTGAATCAAAAATCACCTTCGAGCTCTCTTGAGCATTATTTTAACGATTTAGCTAGAAAAGCTTCTTTAATTTAGCTTGAACTCGTGACCTTGAGAGTGAATAGTAAAAAAATGTCTTTCTTTTAACCTTGGTCGAGCACCTAGGTAACTATGATTGCATATGTCTCAGGTGGTCACGAGAACTTCGAAGAGCTCGTTTGACTTCTCGCTTCACTCTTATTTTGCCCTTGGCTAGTGGTGAGTGTCAAATGCATGTTAAATGCTTATGTGATTGAAATATTAACTGTACAAGTGTTATACATGATACGCAAACTTGCCGAGACGAGAGTGTACTTTATTGCCCCCGTACTCTCTCTCTTTTAATTATGTGATACTTGTTATATGAATACATATGATTGGTAATTGTACATGAATATGTTTAACTCGTGAGCTCTGAGCGGATGCATGTACCACACCAATTGGGGTGGGAGGTACCTCTCATACCGTCTCAGTGCTATAATCGGTTCTCTGAGCGATAGCATGTACCACATCAATTCGGATGGGAGGTTCCTCACATGTCGACTCAGAACCATAAACAATTCTAAGTCGATTGGAGCGATACCTCATCAGTCACTTATACTTCTGGGGGACACCCTAACCCATTGGCCAACCTTGTAACTCGAGTCGGCAAGGGCTTGGTCGAGAAGTTTGGTGAACCATGAGAAAATTCGTAAAACTTGATCTATTTGAGAGATCTCGCTTGGCATATTTGAGTAGTATCGCCTTTCTAAATGATGAGCGGGCACGGAACAGGGGGTGTAACGGTGAACGGGATTCGTGAAGTAAAGTGGTGTTCTACGGACAAAATATACCTATCCGGGTGACGGAGTGTCATCACGCGGAGGTATATGATCGAGACTCGGCAAAGCAAGTGGAATCTAGCTCTTGAGAATGCCCGTATCCTTAATGAGTGTATTTTATTTTAAATTATGAATTATTTGAACGTTATAGCTTTATTTCTCGTATAAGTGCTATTGTTACTTGAACTATGTGTTTGCATGCTTTTCTTGGCCTCACTGAGCGTTAGCTCATCCCATTTCATTTGTTATTCCTTAACAAGAGAGTGACATGAAAGAAGTGATTGGAAGATACTTTTGTATAGCTTGGTATTTTGTAACTGATCTTTGGGGAACAATAAGATTTGGAACTCGATGTAGTTGACTTGAGATTTGTATCCTTGGATATGCTTGTACAAATGAAATATTATAGTCGTGTTATTCTTTTGATATATTTAGATGTAATCATTGGAAATTGGTCTGTTTCTCATTTAAGGATTGCAGTGAGTCCCGGCGAGAGTTGGATAGGCGGTCCGCCGAACTCTTTGGTTCGCCTTGGGGGAGATGGGGTCGTCACACACGTGGTCTTTATGCTGGGTGAACTTGGGCCAAGTGGTGATATGATCCCGATTATGTGAATGAGTGTAAAGGACTAAGTGCTCTTCTTGAGCGTAAGCTGTGAATCATGAATATTATAGGCGTAAGACCTTTATCATGATACTTGGGGAAGACTGACATGTACGTCGGGTAGGAATTTTAAATGTGGTTGATTTACACTTGGGAATGGCCAGATCAAGTTGTGAATTATCCTATTTTTGTATTCTTGTACCCGAGTACACAAGAGCTGCGGACATTTGGATTAAAGTCGACATTATGACTATCTTTGAGGTAAATGTGAATGACAAAGCTCAAGGTGTGACGACCCTACTGTACCCAGAGGCGTACCAAAGGGTTTAGCGGATCGCCTGCCCAACTCTCGCCAGGACTCACTTACTCGAAACTCGAGAAAATAACTTACATTCATAGTAAATAAGTAACACAACAAGTTCAAACTTAATATATACATTGATGCTCAGATTCAGCTATAAGGCTTATACACGCCCAAATACATTAACGTGTTTACAATCCAAGTCCAATCAACCCTAGTCGGGTGTTAGCACGAGTACAATTCAAAATTTCAAGACTAGATTCTGTACAAGTTTCACGCCTCGCTCGTACCCACTGCTAAGGAAAACAAATGAAATGGGGTAAGTTATATGCTTAGTGAATAATCGGGGGTAAAAACGTAAAATCACATCCAAATAAACATGTAACCAAGATATTTCACATCAATAGACA